TTTTTTTTTTTTTGACAAACAAAATAAAAAAAGTCATTTTTTTCATTTTCCCATTCATTTTCAATTGGGGTCATTTTGACCCCAAAGACCTTAAATGGTAAAAAAAAATTTACACACCTTTAGAACAACCGAATCGAACCCAGTTTTTTTGTGCATGTTTAGATAGATTATGTAGGAAAAGTCACAGAGTTTCATGGCCCTGAGCTGAAGGGAACATTTTTAAAAAATCAAAGAAAAAGTCCAGTGGGGTCAAAATGACCCCAAAGAGATTCTAAGGGTTAAAGAAATAGGCTAGTTCATAAATTACTCCAACCCTGTATTATTATTAAAAGGATGTTCTTTTCCACACAATAGAAGTGGATATATACTTCTGAAATCCAAATAAAATAAGCAACATAAATGTATATTCCATGTTTTCTGAAGAAGTGATATAACAGCTTTGCGTGAGGTTCATACAGATAATCTTCTCATCAGCCAGAGCTCTCAAATCTCACTCAAGCTTGTGATAAATGTTGTCTTTTGAGGCATCGTGTCATTGGTTTTCACATGATCAAATCGTGATGCAGTAACTTTGAAATATGCAACTGCAAATGAGCTTTTAGAGCTACAGGATGGAAACAGTATCGACTTTTTTGGGGTCCGTTGCTCATACAAAGCATCGTATGAATCAATGCACTTGAAATATGGCGCACAAGTCATATGGACTATATTTACTGACTATAGACATTCATTTGCTTGGATTTTGGCTAAAAGCTCATTTTGTTTTTCACAGCAGAAAGTCAGTCATTTACATTTACAGGTGAAACTCGAAAAATTTGAATATCGTGCAAAAGTTCCCTTATTTCAGTAATTCAACTTAAAAGGTGAAACTAATATATTATTATATAGACTCATCACATGCAAAGTGAGATATTTCAAGCCTTTATTTGCTATAGTTTTGATGATTATGGATTACAGCTTATGAAAACCTTTTCACAATATTCTAATTTTGAATTTGGGGTTTTCATTAGCCATAATCATCAAAATTATAACAAATAAAGGCTTGAAATATCTCACTTTGCATGTAATGAGTCTATATAATATATTAGTTTCACCTTTTAAGTTGAATCACTGAAATAAATGAACTTTTGCATGATAATTTTTCGAGTTTCACCTGTATGCATTTAGCAAATAGACTTACAAGGAAATGCAATTTGTCAAAGAGTCAACCATATTCATAATATTATTCAAACTGGTTTAGAACCACATTATGGCGAGTAAATAAAGACTAATGATTTTAGTGAACTACTGATTTAAAGTTATATGGGGAACAAATAAATACGCTCTCTGCAAAACATTTACTTGAGTGCCGAATGAACAGTGAACTATACGTAGTTGCAAGTTGAATATTAATCATGGCGATTCCCTTGAACGCACATTTGAGGTTTGTACATGAAAAGCACAGACTCCCCCGACGCTAATCGCCTGCCGCGTCGCACCCCCAGAAACCTCGCTGGAAACAGTTTCAAGATGCTTGCTGAAGCCTGTGAGGTTTGGCTAACATCACTCTCAGCACATTCAGAGAGCTTCGCCAGATGGACGGGGACGGGACTTTTGCAGTAATATCTGTCCCCTAATGTATCCCGTTATTTCTTTAACAGAGAGACAGGGCTTGAGGTCAGCCACTGAGAAGGAGAGGAAAGTTAGGCTCATTTCTCTCGACTTAGACGACTCTCTGGCAGCGGGATTTCTCACAGAGCTCATTGGAAAGCTGAAGGCATGGATGCTATTGAGCCGAGAGGCCTGGGACTTCCGGAGAGAACAACCACTTTAATCCGAGTCCAACAGGCCCCCATTGGAGATCCAATTGAGCCTCCTGGCCCCTCGGCTGGAGCCCGGCGAAGCTCAGAGGCCAATTGAAATATCTTCCTTTGTTTTTCCTGAGTCTTAAACTGATCTGGGTGGCAGCCAGGCGGTCAAAAAACACGAATCAATGCAAAGACAGAAAGTTTAAAACTCTCTACAGAGACAACATGCAATCACAAACTAATTTTTTGCATCTTAAATAAACTTATGATTTATGAAAATGTGAGTGGTGCTTGCATGCAAAACATACATTTCTAGGTTATTGTTTAATGACCCATGTCAAGTTTTTTTTGCCAACTTTATGTCTGATTGCATTGAAAAATAATAGCTGGCCTCTCCAAACAGGGCATATTAAAAGTCAGATATATACATCCTACTTTACCTGCATATACAGTATACTCATATAAAGGAATATATAGAAAACCTCAGCTGTGTGATTGTAAATATCGTGGCAAAATGTAAACTGTATTATCGTCCAGCTCTACTCTGCTAAAATTTGACTTTAATTGCCAATTCACACTAAGGACGATAACGTTAAATATATAGTTAAAATATATATATATAAAACATTGACAGCCAATTAGAATCCATCCTGCTCTAAAGAGCTTGACCATTTAAAGGGGCAGACGACAAAACTGCAGCGTGTTATAATTAACCGCTGGTGTAGACGCTAATAATTATTATGGCTATAGTTATCAGTGTGAACGAGCATTAAAGCATGAAGAAATAAAAGGGTTAGTTCACTCACCCAAAAACAAAAATACTATAGATATCCTGGTTCTTGGCTCATTTTGATCAAATCATTGAATCAGTGTATTCTTGACTTGAGAACAGCTGAAATCAGATCAATACGATTCACAAAGGAATCGCTCAGTATGATTTGGTAACCAATTCATCAGGTTCATTGGAAGGAATCAGCTCGTTCGTGAATCATGTGTAGTAACAAGTATGCTTTATAAGTTTCCAAAAGTAGAAATACTCTGATAGAGTATAGATTCTTGAAAAATGCACTTAAGTACAGTAAAAAAGTAAAAAAAACATTTTGTTACTGTCCACCACTTATAAATAATGATACAATTTTAATTTTTGGGTGAACTAACCCTTTCAGATATTATAAACATTGCTGTAAAGCTGTTTATATAGACATAATTCACATCTATAGCACAAACACAGCAGGGACAGATTACACACCAAAGTTTACAACTTAGAGATCTCAGCAAACTAAACCATATGAGCAATAGAGCAAAATAGTGTTAAAGAGCCAAAAAGAGCATTAAAACACAGAAAGCAAGCAAAAGTACAACTTCTTTATGTACAAAAATACTTTTGCATACAACAATGGACATTTTCACAATTGTTCATTTACTGTGAGCGTGTATTAATGAAGTCTGTCGCATATAAAAAGTTAGAAGTTCAACCATGTATCAGCCCAGGCGTCATAACGGCCCACAAGAACACACAACTCATTTACACCTGAAGTGTTTCTCTCAACAGGACGGCTTTGATGTAGCAGTGGAGGGAGGTGATCTGTGCTTCCTAAAAGGAAATGCCAAAGAATTTTAATAGAGCACACACTTCCTATGGGAAATGAGTTCAAAGCAGCGCTGCCCCTATAAGACAATGAGATTGAGGGCAATCTGTCCGTCAATAGCCCGTCTGTCATCAGCAAACTACCCAGACACGGCCCAACAACAGGAAGAAAGGCCAAAGACAAACACTACCAACACAACATGGACGTGTGGGGAGTCTCGTATTACAGCCATATTCATTTTTTTTAATCATCTTTTGACAACTTTCTTACTTGATACTCATTTTAAAAAGGAAAAAAAAAAGTCATATCTCAGCTGGTCTTTAAAAATGGAAATTATTTGTCACTGCACATTAACAACTTGTCTAAAATAAAAACATCTCCCTTAACATAATCAGCAAGATAACATTTCAAATTCTCAAAATAGTGCTTTAAAACACCTCATTGGAAACGTATTCATATAAGTCATCTATAGGCAAATAACTAAACAACTGCTCATGCAAAACAGTTGCATTGGTAGATGTTGCATTTTACTGTATTTTCATTAATTAAGCAGCTGGGTTAATGTCTATAAAATCCAAAATATTAAACCATTAAAGTGCACATTATGGCTTCCTGTGTTACATAAGGCAGTATTATGTTGTTCAGAACATGTTTTGGACTTGTACAATGCCTATAAAAGGAAGTAAATTCAACTGAATGCTTAAATGAAAATCTGTAAAGCCTTTTCATTTCTATCTTCCCATAGTGATCTCCAGTCTACAAGCTCCATTCAACTCCATTCACAAAAGCATCAACAGGTCAACTCCAGCAACAATAGACCTTCCCGAGAGACTCATTCACACATCTGACCTCCTAAAAGGCCATTTCCCAAAGCTCAATGCTCCTGGCCGGATGAACACTGTTTGCTCAAGACTTCCACAGAGTGAAGAACAAGTTAACTTTAAAACACAGCACGAGTCATACAGGTGCACTCTTAAAAATTAAGATCCTTTAGCTTTTATTGGCTGTATGCTTCTTTAGAAGTTACAAAAGTAAAGTTGCATAACAGTTTCTTCAGGTTCTCTGATTAATGGTTTTCTGGAGAACTAGAATAAACAGACATCCATGTTGAAAAAAAAAATCAGTTTTAGCTGGTAGTTTTGGTTTTAGTTTGTAGACCATCTCAGACCAGCAACAAATCAGCTTCTTAGTGTCAGACTGGTTTACAGTAACATGTCAAACAGATAATGACCAACTTAGACCAGCTAAAACCCAGTTCCAAAGCAAAGACTGGAGAAAGTAAAAATGATGTTTACCTATGTCTTTAGACCCTTATTTTAAAGAGTAGCTACACCTCAACAAACACACAACATCTGCCTTACAAATAAAGGTAGTAGTAGCTTATCGGATACGTGTAGTTTCACTTCCACACAACACAAAAACAAACACTATTGATCAATAATTCATCATAGTAGTTGAATGCTCTTGTTTTAAGCTCAAACTTCATTATTAAGAGCTTTAAATGTTCTTCTGAGGTAACATGACATGACTCTACTTGTTCGTGTTTTCAGCTCGTGTCTCTGACAGTAGTATCGCACGCGACGTGTTTTACAGATTTCAGTGAAATGCGTCTCTTTCTCTTTACCTTGTAGATGCATTTTTCCGAGTTTCCTCTCTTTCCTCCGTCCACCGAAGCGCTGCAGCACAGAAACACGCATAAAGCCGTGAACAAATGAACAAGTCTCCGTGATCCAGCCATTCCTGCCCGTCCATGAAGCTCCACTGATGAGAATGAACAGGAACGAAATCTGCCGAGGATTGAGGAGGAGGTTCACGAACCACACAAGGTGGAGCTCTCTCTCTCTCTCTCTCTCTGTGTGTGTGTGTGTGTGTGTCAGTGTGTGTGTGTGTGTACAACAGCATACTGCCATTCCAATCGCACTGTGTGTGTGTGTGTGTGTGTGTGTGTGTGTGTGTACAACAGCATACTGCCATTCCAATCGTACTGTTTATGCAGTATTATACTGACTGTATTTAGCTTATAGTATACACTAAATACTTCTCTCAATAGAACTTTGGATATATATAACTTTTATTATCATCTCATCCCAGTCTCTGTCATCTTAGTTTATTTATTTATTCATATGTTGCATGCATTATTCAGTGACTGGTTTTCTGGTATTACATATTAACATACACATCTTTCAGTATATGTATGCAAAATGCTCTGAATTTATGGAATAACCCATGATTACCTGCGCTGTGCTTAATAATCCAAAATGATTATTATTTAAATATAATTTTATACAACCATACATGTTCCAAACGCCAGTATGCTACATGTTGCCACATGACCTTATCATGTTGCATCTATAATTGTATATTTAATAGATCATCCAGCTTATATTATATTAGTATAATGTGTGCAGAATGCTGCAAAAATAGTACAAGTTGTGTGATCGTCTGATTATAACCAATGTGTACCTGTACCCTTAGACAGATTATTTCATATTTCATAATGAAACCATGTTTGTTTTTACAGTGATAGAAACACTGTCACATTTCATTGTATTATAATTTCAGGTTAGGGTTAGAGATTCATTCACACCCTGTTATGACACGCTTGAAACACGTGAGACATCTGAAGTATGTTAGATGAGTGTGTAATCATAGTGGATGATTGACACATTAGTGAAATATGAATAATCTGTGTTAGGAGGTCACCGGATAGGTTATTATTGCACCAGTGGTTGTTTGTTGAATGTGTTACTCTCGATCGATTTTACACACATTTTGTGGAAGAATAAACCATTTTCTTGAATCTAGAAATAATCTCAAAATGACACAATTGTACTTCTGTGTGTTTGTACTTCACAAACTTCTGTGACAAAACCAAACACATGAAAAAATATTTTCTTCCCTCATATCAAACCTTGGTTTCAGATGATACACAAAACCCAGCAAATACACATGAAATATGGATATGAGCAGGTCCCAGACAACAGTTTCCAGAGACTTGGTGAGAGTTGAATTAAGGTTTTAGGGTTTTGAACCAATAGCTTTAAATGTTAGCAGTCAAGAAACACTGTTTTTCATTCTTTTCAATATTTTCAAATATTGGTTTCTTTCTATGCAGACCTGATGATATTGCTGGCAATGTCTCAAATGCTGAAAGACAGAACGTTTGTCTCATCGTCTCTTGTAGCCAACAGCCATAATGTGCATCCAACTATCCTGTTTCAGATCAAAGACAGAAACCTGGAGGCCAAAGAATCTGGAGCATCACAGATACACCCAGATCCTCTTTCAGCTCCGCTTCTGTTACTGACACGCATCAAAAGAGGCTGCTTCTTAAAGATCAAACCAGCAATGCATTCATAATGCAGGCCCAGCATATACGTATATACAGTAGTCAACATTTGAAGTGGATCAAAAAAGTTCATCAAAGTTGTCCTAAGACAAGAACGGGTATTGTTCAAAATTCATGTAAAACTTTGATGAAAGGTTTTGATCCACTTCAAATGTTGACTACTGTATTTTCTAAGGGCGATGCCACATATGTTTACAGTTTGTAATACATATCCAACAATTGCACTTTGAATATATATATATTAGGGCTGTCAAATGATTAATCGTGATTAATCACATCCAAAATAAAAGTTTTTTTTACTTTTTTAATTATTTTATATATATAAATACACACACATGCTTGTATATATTTAAGAAATATTTTCATATACTGTATATAGATTTATATATAATTTATATTATATATAAATATAAATATTTTATATATAAATTATATTTTTTTCTTAAATATACATGCATGTGTGCGTATTTATATATATATACAAAATAATTATACACAGTGCACCCACATATATTATGTAAAAAAAACTTTTATTTTGGATGTGATTAATCGGGATTAATCATTTGACAGCCCTAATATATATATATATATATATATATATATATATATATATATATATTATGCTGGCCCTGCATTATGAATGCATCATAAAAGCTGTTTGGGGCATTACTGGTTTGATATATATATATATTAAAAACTGTAAACATATGTGGCATTGCCAATTTGAAAATATGCATTAATATTCTGGACAAATTATAATTTTTTGTCTCTCTTCCTGGGAGAAATGTTTTAACATTATTTTACTGTAATATTATAAATTCGGGGTTTTTTTCGTTTAAAAAAACCGATTCATAACAAATTAAAGAAAATCAACTATTTTTTGTAACAAATTTTAAAAAGTTCTATTTCAGAGCAAAATCGAATACAACAGCGCCACCAAGTGTTTTCAAATGTTCACAACACATGCATGCAAATTAACATACAAATATATTATATTAGCCTATATTACATTAAATTAAATTATATTATTATAATATATTATTATAGTTTTTTTAAAAACTTCCTTTCAAACATGCAAAACTGTGCAAGTGCTGTAAATGCTGAAAATGACTCAAATGCAAATCTAAAGCCCCCCTCAGCGAAACCCCCCTGTGTGACCCAATCAATACTTAATAGGTTTACTGAGCCCTATAGTTATAAAGCACTCATTAGTTTGGTGGGGGGTGTGTGTGTTTGCTTAACAGTTGGCAGGAGATAATGTTCACTTAACTCCACTTGGAGAAAGAGTTTTAATTGGACTTTAGGTTTGAATGAAAGTGTTGGATTAAAATTGTATTTATAATTACTTTATTCTTTTACATTTTCAGTAAACGCACAATAAGAAATAACAATAAGAATCTTTAGCATTTAAATCAAAGCGAGAGATCATTTTTAATTACATAAGTGGTAAAGACATATATAATAAAATTACAATATCACAACAGAAATAATGAGCAAATGTGGTTCTGCGGCCATCAGTGTTCTTCCCTGCTGGTTTGTAAATCATTAAGAACGTTTTTCACCATGAGGAACTGAGACTCTCTGTGTGAGCGCTTCAGCTTTGCTCTTCTGTTCTGGAACCAAATCTAAGAGACAGACATAAAAACATCAGTCAAACATCCAAACTTCTTAAAGATCTCTGACACACTTGATTGAACAGTTTAGTCCTACATCTGTAGTCCTAGAACTAATCCAAATATCCTAAAACAAACGATATTATACAAAATGAATAATCTTGGTTATTTACAATATCTATAAATGTCAAAGCAAATGATGGACTGATTATCAGATCAGTCTTTACCTGAATTCTGTCCTCATCTAGGCGAAGTTTCTTAGCAAGTTCTTCTCGTAAATCGATGCCCGGGTATGAGTTCACTTGAAACACACTCTCCAATATCTTGATCTGGACATAGAAAAAAACATCATTAATATATTTATTTAGTGTATTAATAAGCCTTTAGAATTTATATCCATAGGCTGAAACTTTTTTAACTAATTTTGTGATTTCAATGTTAGAAATAACTGTATTTTTTTGTGCATTTGACAAAATGACAATTGGAACCAACTGACAAGTTTTAACAGGAAAAGCACCACAGAAAACGTTCTCAGAACATTGAACGTTCTAAAAAGGTTCTTTCAAAGTTATGACCTAAAGTTCTTCCAGTGACGTTAATAGAATGTTCGTTCAAAGTCATCTGATCTATATAATGAATATGTTAGCACAAAACCGTTATACATCATGGAACGTTCTGAATACGTTTAAGAATGTTCAAAGAAAATTCAAAAGTAACGTTTCAAAATCATTATGTTTGCAGAATGATCAAATGGAACGTTTCCTTTACCAAGAAAAAGGATTTGAACGTTCAGAGGACATTCACAAATAATGTTTTCATACCTTAATGGGTTAAAATGTTCTATTTTGTTAGCAACGCACACATTTATAAACACGTGTTAAGCAGTGAATGTTATGATTATGTGAGCGACTAAAGCGCATGCGCGGGTCAGCAGCGTTTACCTGAACGCTAGAGAACGCCGTCCGCGGCCTGCGCCCGATGTACCAGTTCAGTGTTCTCCTGTACGTGTCTGCTGGTGATTTACTGTAGGATTTACCATCTTCATTCACTCTCACATCCACTGAAGCGTCGCTGTCTGTGAGCACGAGAAGATTCTGGAATGCTGGTTTCACGTCTGAAGTAAATAAAAGACATGATGTCATTTAAACAGTTCGTGCGCTCTATCAGTGGGATAGTGCGATTCGTTTAAGTGAATCGGTTCATTCGGACGGAGAACCGGTTCAGTAAACAGAGTCATCGGTCAATATCTTTGTAGTAAAACTTCTGGAACGCGCCTTGATTATTGTTATTCCTAATGTTAATTAATATGTATATTTTTTTTAAAGTAACTTTAACATGAATTATTCCCAATATTGTTAATAAAATTGTATCTTGCAGTTTTACTCCAAAAAATTAAAATTATTTTTACAACAATGAAAAATGTTTTTTATTATAACATATACAAAAAATAGTCACCAGGACAATAGATTAGGTCAATTTAAAATGATTCACAGTAATGTTTCACAATAAACATTAATTGTAGCTATATTTTAAATCAGCTTGATGTAGATTTGTCGCTTTGGATAAAATTAGTGCTGTCGATTAATTGCACCTAACTTAGAAGTTTGCATTTATATAATATATGTATGTATATACACACACATAGGCCTATATATATATATATATCATATCATGTCAAATACATATGTTATAACATAAATGTTTTAGTTAGATGTGATTAATCGCGATTAATCTCAGCACTATAAATGTAAATGCAATGTACATTTTCCTGATGTATTTTTGCACACGCATTTTAAAAATATATTCCAAACAAATACCAAAAACACATAAGTGCATATGGTGTGTTCTTATCTTACCTGTCCAGGGTCGGTAAGGCGCTGACAGTGCAGTTCTCTGGTCCGGTCGGTTCAGTCCCAGGATGCTGTCGATGGTGAACGAGGACGGTCTGTTCATCGGGATGTCCTGATGAGCACTGACTGCGAGAGACGCCATCTGGAGATCTGAGTTCTTCTCCGACTGGACCTCCACTGCTGTGATCCCAAAGCTTGAGCTTCACCTTTACACCTCCTCTCTTATAGTCCCCAAAACGTCACCAATTACAGCCTGAGACGGAGTGTTTTACATGTGAATCGCCGGGCCCTCACCGCGGGACCCCTGGACGACTGCAGGTAATTCAGTGTTCAACCTGAAGCTCAACCTGTTATCTTCTGAAGACACCGAATCCCCTAAAGCTGCCACTGAGCGGGACAAAACACGGCTGATGTGCCATTCTTTTTACTCACCAGGTAGAAAATTAGGCCCCGTTCCCAGGATTTATCTCCTTCTCATTTCCTTCTGCCGCATCTCCGGCATTATGAGAAAGCAGTCAACTAGTGCCTAATCTTATTTACCTTATTTTCTACCACACGAGTTTAAAATGAGAATAAAGCCTAATGCTGTTTAAACTAATCCTGCTGAATATTCCCATTCTCTCTTGACATGCATGGAGAAAGATGCTCTCCGGAGCACAAAAGCACAATAGCTGAATGGCAATTTGCTGGAAGCAGCATGTCATAATTGTCTCATTCAATGCTGAATTGATCTCTTTCGGTTGCCTGGCTGCTTTTAATAAACGACTGGCTTGTTTATTTGTCTTGGCCTCTTGGAGAGCTCCGGGGAAACAAGCGCGGCCCCTGCGGCTCCATTGTTTTGCAAAGAAATGACCAATTAGACTTGTTTAAATGCAAACCAAATGAAGACCAATTAGAAATGAAAATAAGATCACCTAACCGACAATACAAGCAATTAACTCTTTATTTTACAGAGATAATCCAGACATGCACAACATTTAGTTTTATGAAATTTTTATTGAGGTTGTTTTCAGATCCTTAGGGTTAGATGATAACAATTTGCAGTGCATTAACTAATGTTAACAGATGCATTTGATCTTAAAAATGCATTAGTAACTTTTGAGATTAACATTATAATGAAAACTAATGAACTAAATTTCATGTTATCTAATGAAACCTTATTGTAAAGTGTTCCCATTTCAATAATATGTGAATTTAAGAAAAAGAAATATCTTCAGTAGCCCTGAAATTTAAAAAAATGTATTTGTATAATATTGTTTTAAATTGTTTTATCAATTACAGAAAATTCAACATTTTTTTTTCCCTAAAACAGGCCAATAACATCCCTGCTTTTAAATATTAAGTTTGGAATAACCTATTAAGATGATGAATTATTAATATTTTGATCATTAAGTTATATTTACACAAATGTAGATTTGTTACATTTTGTGGCACTTAATGATTTGAAATTTTTATTTCAATCTTTAAAGTTCCTTTAAAACTCTTTAAATTACTTGAAATATAATTTTTATTAGACAGATTAAGTTTCATGTTTTTTTTTTTAAAAATTGTGTTCAACAATTATCTGAAGAAGTTTAATAGTTAAAAGTTAAAGTAAAAAAAAAAATCCATTCAAAAAAAGTCTAAACCAGAGTAAAGTAAAAATAAAAAGAAAGATTCTGGAGTCTAAGAGGATTCGCTTATTTAAACAGATTTTAATACCAATCTTCATTGTACCCCATGATTTTGTAGAAAGTCATTTAGACAAACAGTTCTTTAAAGGTTAGAAACAATCATTGACAAATTAAACGGAGCGAATTAACGGATTAAAATGGAACAGAAAGTGCGTTTTTCTGACGTCTCAACAGTTTATGAACCATAAAGACTGTTTTCATTAAAGCAAATTGTCAAATAAACCAAATCAATGAATGAGATGATATTTAATTCAGTAGCGCTCTGTGCAACTTCCACCACAAAAATAATGAATATTTCAGTTTGCAATTCCATCACCGTTTTTAACCCTTTTGCTTGAGCTGCAGATTTCCATATACTGGACCAATAAAACATTTATGATGCAATGCAGTCTTCAATATCTCTGTTATACAAAAAAAAATACAGTACACCCCAAGTCTAGAGCCATTTGATCATGTGATTTTGAGCCAACAATGTGTTCACATAGAAAAACTGAATGATCACACAATCTGTAGAATGACCAGATGTGGTGTGTGTGTAGATGTAGAACATTGTGAATCACGGTTGCAACGGCTAACAGACAAAAATCAGAACTGTATTAGTGTATTAATTGCAAAGACAAAATATAACCGTATCAAATCATTTTGAACCCATTATATAGTGAATCTCTCAAAATATTGCATGAAGAAAATTAAGCCTATTTTAGGACGATTAAGATTTTTAGACTTGAGATCGACAATTACAATAATACATCATTGACACCTTTGTGAAAGTCTGTCACCTGAACGGAAACACATGCAGCCATAAAACCTTCTCAGTGAGAACAGAAGCCCAACATACAGTATTAATGTCTCTTACACATCTGTTATTCACACGTGCAGCTTCATCGAAATAAAGCAACAGATGTCACCTTACGTCTCGTTAGGTTGTCGTTTGTCCTGGTAGTGGATTCATTGACACACATACATATATAAAACCCTCTAAAAGCAAATGCAGTTCGATAACGGATATGGTAAAAAATACAGGATTCATACAAATAACAACTTCTGAGGAGTTTTCCCCAAAGTGTCCACTTTTTTTTTGTGTGTGTGTATAATCCGCAGTTTGATATTAAATCATTGCTCCTGCAGGCCACTCTGGAGAACCCTTGAGGAACAGGAAGTGATGTAATAGAACGGTTCTTATCAGGCCTCTGATTCGCCCTTTTTCTGCCCCTCCTCTCCTACATCGCTGTCCTCTGATTGGCTGTTGCTAAGGACCAAGACCTGTCCATCAGCAGCTGTTTGGCTGGGTCGGCTAGAGGCGGCTATCAAACGACTTTGTTCCTCAAGATCCTGAAGGTTTGGAGAGCACAGTTTACTTATGAAATGTGTTCAAATATACACTTCTGTTTTTCAGGAAAGATGCATTAAATTGATCAAAAGTGACAGTGAATGCTACAAAAGATTTCAAACAAATGCTGAACTTTCTATTCATCAAAGAATCTAGGAAAAAATTATATCACGGTTTCCACAAAAATAAGCAGCACGTCTGTTTTCAACACTGATAATAATCATAAATGTTTCTTGAGCATCAAATCATATTAGAAGGATCATGCGTCACTGAAGACTGGAGTAATTTGATCACAGGAATAAATTACACTTTAAAACATATTCAAAGAGAAAACAGCTATTGTAAATTGTAATAATATATCACATTTTTACTGTATTTTTGATCAAATAAATTTGAATGTCTGATACCTTCTCTATCTGTTTTTGCTTATCGAGTTCTTCCTGTTGTTTCTCCTTGGCTTTATTCAGCTCTCTCTGTTTCTGTGAGGCTTTTCGGTCCTGTCAGAAAAAAACAAGAATCATCAGCATTATCAATTTCATTTCACCCAACATGCATTTCTGCGCAAAGTCATTTGAAATCAAATAAATGTGGATTTTCCTCACCATCTCAGAGTGGAGGGCGATCTGCTTTGCCAGTCCTACACTGTCACAGATCTGATTTATTCAAGAAAAAAAGTGACATTTTTTAAAACAAGTATATATATATATATATATATATATACACAGGTGACACTCGAAAAATTAGAATATCGTGCAAAAGTTCATTTATTTCAGTAATTCAACTTAAAAGGTGAAACTAATATATTATATAAACTCATTACATGCAAAGTAAGATATTTCAAGCCTTTATTTGTTATAGTTTTGATGATTATGGCTTACAGCTTATGAAAACCCCAAAGTCAAAATTAGAATATTGTGAAAGGTTTTCATAAGCTGTAAGCCATAATCATCAAAACTATAACAAATAAAGGCTTGAAATATCTCACTTTGCATGTAATGAGTCTATATAATATATTAGTTTCACCTTTTAAGTTGAATTACTGAAATAAATGAACTTTTGCACGATATTCTCATTTTTCGAGTTTCACCTGTTTGTATACATGTCCTTATACAAGTAGAAAAAGGGAAAGATTATATGCATATATGAGAGATCAAGGTTTTTGTACCTTCTCTCCATCATTGTTTGACTCAAAGATGTAGCAGACGGTAACAGGCCGTCCATCCACTCGTCCTCCTGCCGTCTGCAACACGAAACCAAACAAGCGCTTGTTCTCCTGATGTGACGCACACAGCACAACGCTGGAGAGAGAGAACTGAGGAACCACAGAACAAATACTGACCTCAGAACAGCACAGGATTCGCTTTAAACACCCAATATGAGCAGTGAACAAAACCGTTAAATGATTGGTGAAGGACGTACCCGTAGTCTTGTGACTTGTGTCTGTGGGTCAATAAGCCTGAAATAAACAGACAGAACTTTATAAAAGACAAAAGTATGGCGTAAATAAGCCTGATATGATTAAACCTCTGGTGCTGCTCACATGTCGGTCAAAAATGATAGAATTTTTAGTTTAATGAATTGATACTATATTTTAGTTCGATAATGTTTTTTATTTAAAAAAATATTTTATTAGGGGATTTTATGGTACTAGATTATATTTTTGCAGTATTTATAATCCATTTGATTATAGACCTGAAAATGACATTTCCAATTTAAATGGTCATAAATCCTGAATGCTTTGGATCACCGACTTAAGTTTGGTCTCTTTTTAAAGACGACTCTTGGCAGTTTATTGGTGAAGTGAAAAACGTTTAAAAAAGTGAAAAGTTATAAAATGTTACATTTATTGTTATGAAAAACGCACAAAATTAACATATTTTACAACACACATTTTACTCTAAAACAGTGAGAAAATCAAAGCTATAAATCTAAACAAGTTGTGTTCTAAATTTGAGGTTGATAATTTGCAGATGAAAATTAGCTTCGGCTAACTCTGGTACAAAACATTTTTTCGTAAGATTAATGTATTTTGTACGTTGTCCCTGATAAATAAATAAAGTAAAAAAATTTAAATAAAAATCTCAAAAAATGAGCTTTCAGTGCAGTACCAAACGCTTCCACTAGAGGAAATTCCATTCCCATTCATTTCCAAAGCGCTCATTTTAGACAATGAACAATACAAGTGACTATTTTTTCAGAACCATTTAACCTTTTCAAATCATGTCCATGATTTTCATGTCCACAACCTTTACAAAGTTTCGTACCATTCCAAAGAAGGAAAAAAAAAAAGGAAAAAAACTTAAATTTTTGGGCCAAAAACGACCCAACAGCACCAGAGGGTTAAAGGTCCTTGCACACTCCGAATTTTAGTATGCGTTTTTTCGTGTTCGTCATTCAGGGGCTCTGAATTGTCAAAACACCTCTCAAAATGCTTGCTACAGATGCGAAAAACACAGAAAATCGAACCCGATCTGAATTTGTTTATGACGGACGAAAGTTTCGGAGGCGGTGTGTAAACGTGATTCGTATTTATTTTATAACGTGCGAAAATTTTGGACACGAATTTCGGACTCAGTGTGCAAGAACCTTAAGGGTGTGTTCAAACTTGTAGTTCGGTTCTCTTGGTTCTTTTGGTTTAGGCCAAAAAAAGAAAATTATATAAATTTAGTCCTGGTTCACTTAGTGTTCACACTGTCATTTTTAAGACCAAACCTAAAGATACAAAACCCTGGCTTTTAAGGTGTAAATTTTGCACCGTAACTTACCGAACATCCAGACCAATGCTGTGTGCCGGGCTAAATGCACTTGTCGTAAGCGTCAGGGCCGGATTAACCATTAGGGCAACTGGGCACTTGCCCAGGGGCCCACGACATCTAAGGGGCCCTGGCCAGCAGGGGCGGAGTGGCAATCGGGAGAGTCGGGAGTTTCCCCGGTGGGCCGGTAGTGTTTCGAGGCCGCGAGGGCCGGTCTGATAAAATGTATTCATTGCAAGTTCGCCATGCGCACTTGTGGCCAAAGCGAGGGGAAGAAAAAAAATATTTTAGATAACGGAGCGTATATTTGCACTAAGTGCCTGTCTTTTTACCAAAAAGACGCCCGTCACGGAATAGCTACAGTGGCGTAGGTCGTAGCGCGTGAAGTGCTTAAAAGCAGCTTTTGACGCGCTCGACCCGAGTTCGAATCCGCCTTTTGCCGAACTCTCTCTTCTCCCTTTTCCCAACACATATGAGATGTAAAATGTATAACCTAACATAAAGGTCTCTAGCGTTATATTTGGCCAACGAACTAAAATCGAAACCATGATATGGCTTTGTGCCTTTATAAAACAGCACAAGACTTTAAGAATAGGCATCATGTGTGTGCTGGGTGATTTAAAGAAAAGTGCGCTCTTTGCTCACGCGATCAGCATGGTTATCTGGTGTTTTCTCCGAAATAAAAGCTCAAGGGTTTATTTCTTGCAAGTGAAGAAATTAGGACAAAAGTATTTAAATTTTCCTGTATTATAGTGTAATGTAGACTAAAATATACTTTTGAAATATTCATTTTCATTTATAGTACATTTATAGGCTATATTATGGATTTTACGTCATAGGAATAATTATATAAATCATTGTTACATTATTATAATAATTGTTTGGCATCCTAAAACACCATTGATAATGTAATGTAGACTGAGACTCTCATAACTAAAAAGATGTTTGAGCCCTGGTACAAGTCAATGCTTTTTCTTTGTTCAATGAGCAGTTCATGGGTTGAAGCTCTTAATTTTGATCTCTCAAAGAGCACCAAATTGATGCATTTAACCTTAAAATGTACAAAATTTTCTTGCGGGGGAGCATGCCCCCGAACCGCCCTAGAGGCACAGAGGTCCACCCAACATAGTTTTACAAAATCCTATGGGAAAGAACGACCATTTATGAACTTTACTCCAGCATAGCAACAAAGTTCCTTTTAAGTCAGTAAAACTGTAAATGCAATATTAAAATGTCCTTGGACAAAATATACATTTGGCCCTAAGGGGGGGCCTACAAGACATTGTGCCCAGGGGCCTCTGAACTCTTAATCCGGCCCTGGTAAGCGTGTACATATGATGGCATTTCTGCCAGCTGAGAACTCACAAAGAGTTTATAAAATGTGTAAAGGATTCAAAACAGCAGCAGGAATTCATAAAGATCTGCAAAAAGACGGCGATTCTGACCAACTGTGATGGGCAACGTAGCTCCAATCATGATAAAAACCAGGTATGTGTCCTTTTTATGACATCACGTCCTGTTTTTGGTTTGTTTAGATGTCTTTGGTCGGTGTTGTGTTCATATTTCATATAGTCGAACAACACCAGAGTTCGTTTGGAAGTGGACCAGGGTTCAGATGGCAGTGTTCACTATGGCAGTGTTCACTATGAACCGCACTAATAGAGCAAATGCACTAGAGTTCGTTTTAAAGGGGTGGTAAAATGCCTTTTTCACAAGATGTAAAATAAGTCTTTGATGTCCCCAGAGTGTGTATGTGAAGTTTTAGCAAAAAAAAAAAAACCCACATATATTTTTATATAGCATGTTAAAGTTGTACTTTTTTAGGGTGAGCAAAAACGCGCTGTTTTTGTGACTGTCCCTTTAAATGCAAATGAGCTGCTGCTCTCAGCACAGGGGGCGGAGCTTCAACAGCTTGTGTCCTATTACCTCACACAGACATGCACTGAAAATGTCAATGTTTATGTTCAAACGGAGTCAGACAATAATGGAGAGACTCAAGAAGAAGTGACAACATGTAGAAACAACAGGACATTTCTGAGTAGTTAGTTGATGAATTTATGTAGCTCATGTGTAGTTATCTTCTACTCATTGATTAGCATATTCTGTCTTGATTGTGTTCAGGGGGCGGGGTTTATGTAAATTCTAGGGTTAGTGATGTCACTAACCCTGGAGGAATGTGGTCTAGTCCCTACCAGCCGTTTGTTGTAGTCCTTAAAAAACTATTTCTTTAAAAGCAAATATCTCCCTTTGCTTTGAACTTTGAGTGTCGTAACTTTGCAGATGTTGTCTATGCTCAAACAGCAACATCACACACTAACTAAAGTTAGAAAAGTAAAATCATAATCAACCACCCCAAATATGCCAACAATGAACACACCCTAAAACTAAACGTCCACATGTATTGAGTGGTGTTTGCCCATACGAGTTTAAAATGCTTGACATATTCACAGGCTCTTCTTAATGACTTTGATTTGGACGAGCAGCAGAGCCCTGATCCAGGATCAGTTCAACACAGCTGTGAGAATAACACACTTCAGTCGTAACTCACTTCAGGCATTCGCATGTGACGAGCAGATGAGACTCGGTCATTCTGAAGATGTTGTGTATGGCTCGAGCTGCCAGGATCTGTCTCATGGTCTCATAGATGACGTCAGCGTTCTCCGTGGCCTTCACCTCCATGCAGCCCAAGAACCGAACGATGAAGAGCTGGTGCAGGATCGAGTCTGAAACAACACCAGAGATTCAGTCTGACTTCACAGCAACATCAACAACAACAAAAAATCCATTTTCTTAATAAAAGTCTCTCGATTTTATAATCTTGCATCAATTTCTGCTGACGCAACCAGAGCCAAATGTGTGGAGACAATTATATTAATTACTACTATCATATCCTGCTTTGCACAATCTAATCAAATCAGATGGATATAATCAAGTCTCAGCCTACATTATATCCCTAAATATTCTGTTTCAATAGAAAATATACGACATTATGGATGTTAAATGCATCGCGGATGCCATCTCATGTGCAATTTAAGCTATTAAAAGAATAGTAGACACAAAAATAACAATTCTGTTATTAAAATAAAAGATAGCAATTTATAACTTTATATAAACTATTCTTTTAAAACTCATGTTCTGGTTTATTTATATATAGCCTATAAATAATTTTGGGGTCGGTGAGATTTGCTAAGCAAATAGCATTTATCTGATCAAAAATACAGTAAAAACTGTTATTTTCTAAAATAACTTTTCGATAAGAGTATGTTTTAAAATATAATTTATTCCTGTGATCAAAGCTTGAATTTTCAGCATCATTACTCCAGTCTTCAGTGTCACATGATCCTTCAGAAATCACTCTAATATGATGATTTGATGCTCAAAAAACAGCATTTATTTGAAATAGAATCTATTATTAATGTCTTTACTGTCACTTTTGATCAATTTAATGCATTCTTGATGAAAAAAAGCATGAATTTCTTTTTTTTTTTAAATCTTACTGACTCCAAACTTTTGGATGGTGGTAAATACATATTATTTTATAAATGTACCTTCACTTTCCTCAGATTGTGGCCCTCCAGATTCCCCGAATGGATTGGTCCTTCTTTCAGCAAAGGGAAAAACACAAACCAGTGCATTACGTCGAGATGCTTAATAATTCCCTAATAAGAATTAAGAGTAATCTGTCCTCTTTATCTCTCATAAACGTTCATAAACATAAGCAGAGACCTGCCCTGGCCGGCGCTCTTGGCCTGACTCGTGTGCTCCTCGCTGACGGGGGAGATGATGTCGAACTGGATCGGTGTGTCCGAAGCCACGAGCGAATCCAGAGAGAGAGACGACAGCGCCGGAGACTCGGAGCCCACGGAGCACTGGCTGCCGGACCGGCCCGTCTTGGGTCGACCTTGCCTTCAGGGGGAAACACAAGTGCTTTGAGAAAGAAAACATCCAATCGTTTACAAGCACAAAAACGTTTCTCTCTGATATGGGAACTCATGTGTTGAGTTACAAAACCGGTCAATGTTTTGAATTTAAAAAAAAGAAGAAGTTTTTATTATGTTTTTGAAAGAAGTCTTTTCTGCTCACCAAGGCTGCATTTATTTGATTAAAAAAACAATAATGTGAAATATTATTAAAATAACTGTTTTCTATTTGAAAATAAAAGTTTGATACACTGTGAATCGCTGCAATTCAAAATTTGGGGTCAGTAAGATTTAAAATAGATAAATAAACGAATGCTTTTATTCAATTCAATCATTGATCAAAAGTGAGAGTAAAGACATTTGTAATGTTGCAAAATATTTCTATTTAAAATAAATGCCGTTTTGAACTTTCTATTCATGAATGAATCCTGAAAAATGATGGTTTCCTCAAAAATATTAAGCAGCACAACTGTTATCAACTTTGATAATAATAAGAACGGTTACTAATAATTGAGCTACAATAAAAAATTATAATAATTGAGCAGCAAATCATCATATTAGAGTGATTTCTGAAGGATCATGTGACACTGAAGACTGGAGTAATGATGCTGAAAATTCAACAGGAATAAATTACATTTTAAAATATATTCACATAGAAAACAGCTATTTTAGATTGTAATAATATTTCACACTATAACTGTATTTTGACATTATTTTTTTATATTTTAAAATCTTAATTATTCCAAACGTTTGACTGGTAGTGGTAGAGTATCCACATTTACGGTGCCTTCAAGATGATTAATTATTATAGGCAAAATTACTAATGATTGCAATATTATAATAATGATGCGGTGTGAAGTGCGTGCGAGATGTTGTCCCTCACGTGCTCGGTCTGAAACTCTCGTGTCTCTGTTGAAAGGATGGAGAAGGAGTCACGGCCTCCAGCGCAGACTGATTCACTCTCGCTGCGATCTCCTGCCAAAGAGAAACACTAGCAATAACTGACTTTAAAATGCATTAAAGCCGTCGTGTGTTATACATGCATATATATATATTATATTTTCACCTCGACAGTAAGACTAAATCTAAACTCAACACTCACCTCTGGGTTTTCACTCAGGTATATCCTCTTAGATATGTTGTTTATCGTTGCAATCCACTAAAATTAAATAAAAAAACATTTGAATTACATTTGAATTGGTGAATCTAATGAAGCCTGTCATGTTTAGGGTCATGTTTCACACCAAAATCAAATTAAACATATTTAATATAAAGCCACAAGTTATTTCATATTGTGACATTACATGCATGATATTTATGCACATTTCCCCCAGAATTCTCATTACTGTAAATAATGTATATAAAATTAATATTTTTTATACATCATGATCATTTTCCTTCTACTACCTTTATGTATGCTGATTTTAAAGATATAATTGTTCTCAAACAGGTTACAATTACAGCAATGAGAATATAAAGAGAATGAAAAATAAACTCATTAGAATTATAAGGTCATTAGAATTATACTCACCAAGGCTGCATTTATTTGGTTAAAAATACAGTAAAAACAGTAATTTTGTGAACCATTATTACAGTTTAAAATAACTGTTGTAATATATTTCTACTATTTATCAATGTTGAAAAGAGTTGTGTTGCTTCATTTTTGTGTGGAAATCGTGCTACTTTTTTTCAGGATTCTTTGATAAACAGAAAGTTCAAAAGAACAGCATTTATTTAAAATGGTAAAGACATTTAAAATGATTTCCGATCAATTTAATGCATCCTGAATAGGGTTAGAATAAAAATTAAATTAGAAAAAATTAGAATATCGTGCAAAAGTTCCTTTATTTCAGTAATTCAACTTAAAAGGTGAAACTAATATTTTATATAGACTCATTACATGCAAAGTGAGATATTTCAAGCCTTTATTTGTTATAATTTTGATGATTATGGCTGGTTTTCATAAGCTGTAAGCCATAATCATCAAAACTATAACAAATAAAGGCTTGAAATATCTCACTTTGCATGTAATGAGTCTATATAAAATATTAGTTTCACCTTTTAAGTTGAATTACTGAAATAAATGAACTTTTGCACCATATTCAAATTTTTCGAGTTTCACAGTATTAATTTCTTTCCAAATTTTTTCTTACTGACCCAACTTATAAGAAGGTCTTTGACTTTGAATATGTGTTGAAATGTTCTTGGTGAGCTTGACTCTAATATCTGTATGTGTCTTTCAGAGAAGGTTTTCTCCTCACCTCCTCACAGTCTTTCCTGCTCTCCGCCTGTAATATGGCCGCCCTGCGACACACACAGAAACAGTGACTCAGAATGACTCAATATCTTGGCACATACACTGAGAAGGGATAAGGCAGTCGTTTACCCGCCTGATAAATATTCATTGGAGTTTAAACCGGATCAGCTCTTGGGAATTCTCTGGCAGCACTTTAGCACTTCAGTGTTTACATCTCTCATTACTAGACTAATGCCATAAGACCAGCAAAACTCACCAAAACATTTAGGGAATTTTAGATTCCCAAGAACAAATAAAGGGCTGACAAAGAGCAATACTGTAAAAACGGACTACGACTGGGCTCAATTTTAGGCATTTTACTAACCACAGAGATGAAATTACAGTAAAAATAAGTCAGCAAAAGGTCTGAACTACGTTGCAACTTATTCTGGCCTAGATGTAAAACAAGAAAGTGTTATTTTAGTATCACTGAAAGACAATAATTAGTTTTTTTATTTTTATATTTTCCGTTTTTCATTTAAAGTTTAAGTAATTTCCTTGTGTTTTTTGTCTTTTTCTATGAGTTTGTCTGTCTATGTAGATTTTATTCATTTTTATTTCAGTTTTAATTATTTCAGTACATCGTTAAACTAAATGAAAATGAGAAATGATGCCTTGGCAAGTAGCTGAAATATTTTTTTTTAATATGTTATCTTATTTCAGTTAATGTTTATGTATTATGTAATGTATAATGTATTTATTTTAAGCCACAGAAAAATGTTTTTTATGGTTTTGTTTTAGTTTCAGTTAACTATAATAACTCTGCAACCAAGCACACTTCCTTTAGTTTTTAGTAGAGCTGCACGATTAATCATTAAAAAAATCGCAAACTCCATTCAAACACCCACCCGCGTGATTTTATTCCTAAATTACAGCAATTCGTCTGTCTAATAAACCTTTGACATGTACGATCACAGCCAACACTGAGATCTGCCGCTGATCTAGAGAGAGCAGTTCTCATGTTCAGGGATGAAACAGCTTCTCAAACAGGCTTTTCAACCACACAATATCATTATTTCTGTCTTACAATCATTCAAATTATCACAAGTACTGGGATTATGTTTATAGTTTGGATATAAACACTGATGTCTACGGTAGAGATCAAAATGGAGCAAATCGCCTTTTGAAAGTGACTTGACACTTCAAATAAAGATTGTATCATTACATCGTTACACCAGTAGGAGGCGACAAGAGACCGTTAAACACATTGAATCATTCATTCAAGAGATTCGTTCAAAAACGCTGATTCACCCAGTAATGAAACAAACAAGTGAAGTGAGTCATTGAATCATTCATTCAAATAGATTTTTTCTTAAAAATAGTTCAATTTAATTAAACTTTTTTTCAAATAAACTGCAACAATTTTGTCAGAGCCTCGAGTAAATTATTTGTAAATTTGTTTAGCTGTATTCAGAATCGTGATCTCTATTTTGAACAAAAAAAAAATTTGTGATTCTCAATTTATCCAGAATCGTGCAGCTCTAGTTTCAGTGGCATTTAGAGGCAGGATTATTATAAAACAGATTTGTGCATTGAAAATAAATCTTACTTCTTTCCATCAAACGCTGTGATCTGAAAGCAGAACCGGCGGTCCTCACAGTCCACAGCCATGACAGAACAGTTGTCAATGTCCATAACCAGACCTCCGGCGACGTCTCCACGCGATTGGCCCATGAGGTTTCCTCCCTGGGTGAAGAAGTACTGCCGGTCCCAGCTAGACGACACCAGGCCCGTTTTACTGGCGGAGAGAAGCATGAGATCAGCATGAATGCAGGCGACTGAAGCGCACTGAAGCGGGGATGTTCTCTTACTTGCGAGTGTTGAGGTATCCGGCCTTGCGGGTCAGGTTGCGGTTCACAGGGACGGTGTTCGGGTCGGGGTCGGGCATGTAGAGCGGGTCACTGGCCTCTTTCAGGTCTTGAATCGTCTGATCCATCGCTTCAGCGTCACTGTCCATTTCCCTGCGAACACTACGGCCACCAAGAGAAGAAAGTCAGACTCACAAATACAGTACATCACCATTCACTTTTTTTCTCATTTGGAAATAGCACAGACACACATGCAAACAACCCACACTGATTTCTTGTAGTTTCTTGTTTAAGAACTCGCTATTATCATGCAAAGAACATTTTATTAACAACGCAAGGGTGTGTTAAACATTACTGAAACAATAATTTGCATATTGTATAAAATATAACATACACTCCTGTCCAGAAGTTTGGGGTTGGAAATATTTGTAATGTTTTTGAAACAAGCCTTTTCTGCTCTCCAAGGCTGATCAAAAAATACAGTAAAACTGTAATATTGTCAAAAATTATTACAATCTAAAAGAACTGTTTTCTATGTGAATATATAGTAAAGTGTGATTTATTCCTGTGATCAAAGCTGAATTTTCAGTATCATTACTCCAGTCTTCAGTGTCACATGATCCATGAAAAAGTTCAACAGCATTTATTTAAATAGAAATCTTCACTTTAAACTTTACTTAATCAACACTTATCACATAAAATGATACATTTCTTTAAATGTATTGTCAGATGAATTAGTCCATTATGATGAAAACCAGAGTTATTTTAGTATTACTTAAATACAATTATAGTAATATTTTGAATTAACTTTTATTTTTATATTGTACATTTTTATTTTATTAGTTTGAGGTTTTTTTATATTTCTATTCAGCTTCATATATTTTATTTATTATTAATCTATTTCAGTTTTAATAATTTTAGTTTCAGAGGCAACATTTGATTTTTTTTTTGTTGATTTTTTAAAGTTTTTCATCCCCAATTTTTTATTTCATCTTTATTTCAGTTTTTACTAGTTTTAGTTGAAGTTTCCCCCAAAACTCACTTCTGCACGCTGGTTCCGATGTTGGTGAGAAAATCCTCCCATTGCTGCGTCAGATTCTCTGATCCCAGTTTGAAAAAGCTGATCTGATAAAAAAAAAATCAAATAATAATGAGAGACTATATCATTAGATGGTGTTCTGTATTGAACATGATGACTGTAGCTCATGTTAGACGGCCTCATGAACACCTGCGCCTGCATGTATCCCAGCAGCGGCTCCAACAGCGCGATCTTCTTCTTGTACTGCAGCATGTTCAGTGAAGCGAAGTAGTGCATTGTGGTCTCGTGATGTTTTTTCCTGGACGTGTACACGTCCTCCATCACTTCATTCTTCACCTGCAGTGGACACATGGACGATAGGAGTTAGTCACATGTAGGACAGGACATGCTTTTAACAGCTGGGAAAAGTCTCTATGGGACATGTGGATGAAAAATAAAACTCATTTCAGAGTTGGTGCAAGTTTGATGCGATACGGTGAAGAATAGCATTTGGAACAACAAGCCCTGATGAATCGTTCACAATAAGATCGGGAACATGCATTAAGAAAGTTTTCATTTCATCTTGACTTGTGTTAAAGTGCCCCTATTATGCTTTTTCGAATATTATCTTTCATGTAGTGTCTGATATACAGGTGAAACTCGAAAAATTAGAATATGGAGCAAAAGTTCATTTATTTCAGTAATTCAACTTAAAAGGTGAAACTAATATATTATATAGACTCATTACATGCAAAGTGAGATATTTCAAGCTTTTATTTTGTTATAGTTTTGATGATTATGGCTTACAGCTTATGAAAACCCCAAATTCAAAATTTGAATATTGTGAAAAGGTTTTCTAAGCCAAAATCATCAAAATTATAACAAATAAAGGCTTGAAATATCTCACTTTGCATGTAATGAGTCTATATAATATATTAGTTTCACCTTTTAAGTTGAATTACTGAAATAAATTAACTTTTGCACGATATTCTAATTTTTCGAGTTTCACCTGTAGCTGATTGTGAATGTAAAACGTCTGCAATGTCTTAAAGATCAAAGTGCAGGATAAATAAAGTTATTAAAAGAAAGAATCGATGCTGAACTGCTGAAATGAGTCGTTAGTAATTCCAGTCTCAGTTCTTGTTAAATACCTACAGTGGTGTGAATAAGTTATTACCCCCATGCTAAAGTTGCCTAAAAAGAGGAATAAAAAATCATCTTTTGGAAATTGATCTTAATGCCTTAATTAGAAAAATGCGGAAAAATCCAAACTTTAAGGACACCAATTTTCTTTGTGTATGAATAATGTATCATAAATAAATAAATGTTCTTCCTTAAAATACAGGGTGCATAAGTCAGGCCCCCCCTATGTTAAATTCCCATAGAGTCAGGCAGATTTTTATTTTTAAAGGCCAGTTATTTCATGGATCCAGGATAATATGCATCCTGATAAAGTTCCCTTGGCCTTTGGAATTAAAATAGACCCACATCATCACACACCCTTCACCACACCTAGAGATTGGCATGGGGTACTTTCCATAAGATCATGTTTCAATGCAAATCAAACCAGCTATTAGGCTAACTGAAATAACACCATGCCAATCTCTAGGTATGGTGAAGGGAATGTGATGATGTGGGGATATTTTAATTCCAAAGGCCAAGGGAACTTTATCAGGATGCATATTATCCTGGATCCATGAAATAACTGGCCTTTAAAAATAAAAATCTGCCTGACTCTATGGGAATTTAACATAGGGGGGGCCTGACTTATGCACCCTGTATTTTAAGGAAGAACATTTATTTATTTATGATACATTATTCATACACAAAGAAAATTGGTGTCCTTAAAGGTTGCATTTTTCCGCATTTTTCTAATTAAGGCATTAAGATCAATTTCCAAAAGATGATTTTTTTATTCCTCTTTTTAGGCAACTTTAGCATGGGGGTAATAACTTATTCACACCACTGTACGTAACAATGCGACACAATTTGCATAATGCCATCCTATGATTTCCATTGGTTGTCTGCGAACAACATCTACTTTGACCCTCAAACACTAGTTGAAGCCGAGACTGGAAGAGTTTGGTTCGTGTTGTCGACACGTCGAGAAGTCGCTGTTATCAGTGCTGCGAATCCACTTAAATTCACATCCTAAGAATGAAGACACGCTGGAATTGATACGGTAAAACCAACGGCATCTGTTCGTATCAGTGCATCAAGTGCCGAGGAAGATCCAGAGCTGAAATTCAGATATGCTAATGAGCGTTTGCTGTAAGCGGTCGACCAATCACAACAGACTGAGCCATCTGACCAATCAGAGCAGAGCAGGCTCTCGGAAAGGCGGGGTTTCGAGAGACTGAATCTTCAAACAAACAGTTTTCAGACTCTTTGAGAAATTAGATGATGTGATTATGAGAAAAGTAAATGTTTTTTGACCTTGGATGCATATAAACCTATTGTAGGAGACTCCAAAACAAAACTAGAAGCCTTTAAAATTGCATCATAAGGGCACTTTAAACTGAATAGTGAGTTCTTTGTCTTCTATTCTCGTCCTGGACAAGGACGCATGTATCAGAGTAACAGATGTTCATCTCTCCGCGGTCAGGCCAGCTCTCAGTGTGTGTTTTATTAAATGAGGACAGCCAGAGCATTCAGCAAGACACACACACACGTTACACTCTTATCAGGACTGCGGAGCCGCATGCAAACTAACCAGCTGTCAGTCACACAACATCGTAAAATCTCAAAATGCAACACCTTCTCGTTCTCCTTTCGCTTAGACAGACGACTGTATCGGTTTATGGCAGCATCGTGATCTGAAAGGAAAGATATTAAACATAATGAAGCAGAAATAATGGCTTCATTATCAAATATTGCAGCAATTATGTAGAAAAAAACAACAAAGTGCTTACCATCACTTGCAATCTGAAACACTTCCTTCAGGATGACAATTTCTAGAGAGTGAGATGGAGGAGAATTAATGTGTTATATAAGAGTACAGCTTATTAAACAGCTACTTAAATGACTACATGGGCATGAAATATTGATTTGAGGTAAATTACTTTTTATGCGAGTAGAATGAGAGACACGAAATGAACAGATATCTGGAAATGGTCGCAGTCAATTATATAGTTTATAGAGTCATTATAAGAAAAGACTTGACAACAGAGTAGTGGACCAATCAGAATCAAGTATCCCCCATAATGCATTGCTGTCTCATACCTCTCAAGTCTCTCTCTTTAAACTGAGTGATGGGGAACATCATGGCGTCCGCGAGCTGAGTGGAGAGAACGGCGTGACAGGAGCTGAGCTGAAATAAAAGCACAGAATTATGAGCGGAATCTCAATTATCATACTTGCACAGGATGTTAATGAGTGAGTGATGTCACTCTGACCTCGTCGATGACTTTGGCAAACTGCTGGAGAGTGGAGCTCATGACCTCATCGTCGCCCCCCAGAGGAAAACGCTGCACATCAGAGAACGTTAAAGGGATAGTTCACCTCAAAATGTAAACTCTGTCAGTAATTACTCTCCCTCATGTTGTTCAACCCCATAAGACTTTCGTTCATCTTCAGAACACAAATTAAGATATTTTTGATTAAATCTGAGAGCTGGATCACTCCTCCATAGGCTTCTTAAGGGATCGAAACTGGCCGGCCCAAAGGTTATGAAAGACATCGTTAAAATAGTCCGAGTGACTACAGCGTCTCAACCTTAAGTTTATCAAGCGACGAGAATACTTTCTGTGCGCAAGTGTAACAGGTACAGAAAGTGTACTGTTAAAACTTATGTATTGTTTATTATAATTCACACAAAAAAATTTATTTTCATATATATCTGGTATACTTGCCTGAGAAATTAGTGTTTTTCCCCTTTAATTGCTGTGATGTCATCATGAGCCTACACAATTTCCTGTTTTGTCTCCTCCTCTTCCTCTTGGCATTGTTAATAAACTGAAGAGGTGAGTTATTTATGGCTCCTCTGAATCTTAATTTTAATTGTTGCTTTTGAGTCAATATCTTTACTGCAATTTATGTGTATTAAGTTATTGAACTTATCTGTGTGGTTATTTTTTTATCATTTTACCCTATTTAAGTTATATTTTTGACTTTGGCCTATAATATGTGTAGAGATGAAAGCACATGGTGATTAAATGTACGTCACATTTGTTTTATAGAACAATTTAAGGGCGATTTACTCAGAGGCTGCTCTTGTTTGTTTTATATATCGGAGTAAATCCAGTGAAACCGCCGCCTGTTGTCCCGTGTCTTTCTCAACAACGCTACACAACGCAGACAAGTGATTTTATAACTGGTGTCGCGAGCCACCGGTTACACAAAAAAGAGACATAAATAACGACTTTATTCAACTATTAATTTCCTTCTCTGTGGCCGTGAGATTTCACGTAGTGTAACAGCGCAGCGCTTCTGTGTTGTACGTCACACGCATCTCACACACATGACCAGCGTCGGCCAATAGTGAGCCTGTGTGTGACGTACAACCCAGAAGCGCTGCGCTGTTACACTACGTGAAATCTCACGGCCCACAGAGAAGGAAATTAATAGTTGAATAAAGTCGTTATTAGGGCCCAAGCCTTGAAAAGGCGAAGGCCCTATTGTTTTCCTAAGGATTATTATTTAGGGCCCAAGCCTTGAAAAGGCGAAGGCCCTATTGTTTTCCTAAGGATTATTATTTATTAGGGCCCAAGCCTTGAAAAGGCGAAGGCCCTATTGTTTTCCTAAGGATTATTATTTATTATTATTATTATTATTATTATTATTATTATTATTTTACTACCTTTTGGGCACTTTTGGGGGCCTTAACGTGCTCGAAAACTCTTGAAACTTTGCACACATCTCAGAACCCGCGGCCATCAGGGCCGGGCTGAAGCTGGTACCCGGGCGTGGCAGGGGGGCTCGACAGCGCCCCCTGGAACGTGGTTTGAACACTTGGTCCATAAATCAAACACGCTTGCATGTAATAATATGAAACTCAGTACACATATAGATCTCATCGGTTCATATATACTTCATGCTCTTACTTTTTACCCCAGCCCAACAGGAAGTCGGCTATTAAGGGTTGTTTGGAAAACACATGCAATGGAATGTGAAATACTCCTCCTAGAGAATTCAAACACACGGCACGAAACTCGGTCAGCATGAAGTCAAGACACTGAGGATGAAAAATTGCCAGGGGATTTTTGATATCTCGAACGGTTTGGCCGTGGCGAGTAAACGAAATTATGGCGAGAAACGTGAAACAGGAAGTGTGTTATAACTACTGCATACATTAACTAATCTTGATGAAACTTCAGCAGTGTGTTCGTTGTAAGAGCCCGATCACATGGATGTGACTATTGTGAGTCAAAGTTATAGCGCCACCAACTGGCAGCAGGAAGTGTGTCACTTTCAAAATGCTTTTAAATCACCCTCTTATTTTTACCCGATTTGCTTCAAACTTCATGTGCATAATGTAGACACACGCCAGATGTAGACCTGTGAAAGGATTATTGATATCTTAGATACTGTTGCCATGGCAATGCATCAAACATTAATATTCCTTTTTTTAAGCTTTTTCATGCTTTTTTATGCTTTCGGGCACTTTTGGGGTTCTTAACGTGCTCGAAAACTCTTGAAACTTTGCACACGGGACAAAACCCGCGGCCATCAGGGCCAGGCTGAAGCTGGTACCCGGGCGTGGCAGGGGGGCTCGACAGCGCCCCCTTGAACGGGTCAGACAATTTGGTCCATATATCCAACACGCTTTACCCTATTTGCTTCAAACTTGATGTGTATAATGTAGACACAAGCCAGATGTAGACCTGTGAAAGGATTGTTGATATCTTAGATGCTGTTGCCGTGACAACGCATCAAACTTTAATATTCTTTTTGGATACTTTTGAGATTCTTAGCGCACTTTTGGGGCCCTTAACATGCTCAAAAACTCTTGAAACTTTGCACACGGGTCAGAAACCGCGGCCATCAGGGCCGGGCTGAAGCTGGTACCCGGGCGTGGCAGGGGGGCTCGACAGCGCCCCCTGGAACGGGGTCCGAAAACTTGGTCCATAAATCAAACAGGCTTTACCCGATTTGCTTCAAACTTGATGTGTATAATGTAGACACACGCCAGATGTAGACCTGTGAAAGGATTGTTGATATCTTAGATGCTGTTGCCGTGACAACGCATCAAACTTTAATATTCTTTTTGGATACTTTTGAGACTCTCAGCGCACTTTTGGGGCCCTTAACATGCTCAAAAACTCTTGAAACTTTGCACACGGGTCAGAACCCGCGGCCATCAGGGCCGGGCTGAAGCTGGTACCCGGGCGTGGCAGGGGGGCTCGACAGCGCCCCCTGGAACGGGGTCCGAAAACTTGGTCCATAAATCAAACACGCTTGAATGTAATAATATGAAACTCGGTACACATATAGATCTCATCGATTCATATATCCTTTGTACTTTTACTTTTTACCCCAGCCCAACAGGAAGTCGGCTATTATGGTTTGTTTGGAAGCGTATGCCCCTGGAATTCGATATACTCCTCCTAGAGAATTCAACCAATCGCCACGAAACTCGGTCAGCATGAAGTCAAGACATTGAGGATGAAAAGTTGCCAGGGGATTTTTGATATCTCGAACGGTTTGGCCGTGGCGAGGAAACGAATTTATGGCGAATAAAGGAAACAGGAAGTGTGTTATAACTTCTGCATACATTAACTGATCTTGATGAAACTTCAGCAGTGTGTTCGCTGTAAGAGTCCGATCACATGGATGTGACTATTGTGAGTCAAAGTTATAGCGCCACCAACTGGCAGCAGGAAGTGTGTCACTTCCTAAAGGCTTTGAAATCACCCTCTTATTTTTACCCAATTTGCTTCAAACTTTGTGTATAATGTAGACACACGGCAGATGTAGACCTGAGAAAGGATTATTGATATCTTAGATACTGTTGCCGTGGCAACGCATCAAACTTTATTATTCTTTGTTGATGCTTTTGAGACTCTTAACATACTTGAAATTGCATGAAACCCGACAGACACATCACATTTATTAGACAGTAGACATGTGCAGAGTTTCAGAAACGGGCGTGGTGAGGGGCTCAGTAGCGCCACCTTTTGTCAAAAGTGGGGGGATTGATTTTATCTACAGTAATAAAAATCGGTATGTGTATTGTTCTCCTCCAGCCAGACAACTTTCTAATTTACACTCAATAGCTCCAACCAACAGGAAGTCAGATATTTTGGTTTGAAAATTGTCATTTTATGTCTCTCTCTCTCTGAGCCTACGTCTATGTGTGTGTGTGTGTGTCTGTGAGTGTGGGGAGGGGGAGGGGGGCTAGATTAACCATTTGACTGCTGTGTGGTTTGGCCTGCATTAAAAAAGAAAAAAAAATGTCTTACGCCTTGTATTTTTTAAATAAGTTGTATTAATAAGTAAAGGCATATAACCAGTTGAATTGTAGTGCATTGAAAATAGTTTTATATAATTAGTTTATTAATTAAATTAACTTGGTCAGAAAATTTGGTCCATAAATCAAACACACTTGCATGTAATATTATGAAACTCTGTACACATATAGATCTCATCGGGCCAAACAACTTTAAGCCAGCCCAACAGGAAGTGGGCTATTTTGGTCTTAATGTGGATGTTTTGCAAAACCAGGCTCTACATTTTTACCCACTCCTCTTAAGTGGTTTATTTTATTCCCACCAAACTTTTTCAACATGATGAAAATACATTAAAGAAGCATAATTGTGAATATCTATTGAATATCTCTAATTGTTTTGCTATGGCGAGGGATTAAAGTCATGTAAAAAAAAATAAACACTAAAAGCCTCATATCTTCTAAAAATTTAATTATACACCATTTATTTCTAGATAAAATTATACAAATATCAGAACTAAACCCATTTTATTCTTGTTTTCAATTTAAGAATAATGTACAAGTTAAAAAACAGCCAGGATGCACTATTCAGTTAAAAAATAAATATATCAAATAATACATAGGGCTATACTGCCCTCTTGTGTTCAAAATCAGGTAGGCCTGTTGTATTTAAATATAGGTAGCTGCTATGTGACTCCGAGAATTTTTTCTCACCGGTTATTTGACGTGTAACACCGGGGGCTTTTATATCGCTAAGTTAAAAGTGAAAGTAAAGTAAGGACATTTATAGTGGTGGCGCTCACAGTGCGCTCGAATGAATTTCTATGGAAGTAGAAATGAAAAAACGTTCGCTCTGTTTTGCTCGCTCGTCGCCATGGACGCGCACCGTAATGAATGCCACTGCAGCCGCATACTTTTTAGTGTCACTTTAAAATTAGTGCAATATCGGGGCCCAATTGCTTGAATTGTGAGTTCAATAGTCTATTATTTTTCACGGAAAACACAACAACAAAAGAGTACAATGATAGATTCGCTTAAATAGGCGCTTTTACATAAAATAGCCTATTCCGTCATCATCTTTTC